GAGAGTTTATCATTGTTGAATGCTGCTATTATGTGCTGAATGGCAAACATATAATAGTATGTGTGAAATAAAATGAGATGTATAAACACGTTTTTGGAAAGAGAACATCTCTACATGGTTGGTGGAGGTGGGGGGGGGGGGACCCAGGTGCCGGTACCTGTTAATATAAAAGTAAAGTTGCTGATTATTTACTTGGTGATGATGATGATGACAGTGATGATGATGATGACAGTCATGATGATGATGATGCTGATGACAGTGATGATGATGATGATGACAGTGATGATGATGACAGTGCTGGTGATGATGACAGTGATTATGATGATGATGACAGTGATGATGGTGATGATGACAGTGATGATGATGATGACAGTGCTGATGATGATGATGATGACAGTCATGATGATGACAGGATGATGATGACAGTGATGGTGATGTTTAATGATGATGACAGTGATGGTGATGACAGTGCTGGTGACGTGATGACAGTGATTTATGATGATGATGACAGTGATAGTGATGATGATGACAGTGATGATGATGATGACAGTGATAGTGATGACAGTGATGATGATGACAGTGATAGTGATGACAGTGATAGTGATGACAGTGATAGTGATGACAGTGATAGTGATGACAGTGATGATGATGACAGTGATAGTGATGACAGTGATAGTGATGACAGTGATAGTGATGACAGTGATAGTGATGACAGTGATGATGATGACAGTGATGACAATGAAAGTGATGGTGATGACAGTTTTGATGATAATGATGACAGTGACAGTGATTAAAGTGATGGTGATGACAGTTATGGTGATGACGATGACAGTGATGACAATGAAAATAATGGTGATGACAGTTTTGATGATAATGATGACAGTGATGACAATAAAAGTGATGGTGATGACAGTTCTGATGATAATGATGACAGTGATGACAATGAAAGTGATGGTGATGACAGTTCTGATGATAATGATGACAGTGACAGTGATGACAGTGATGATGCTGACAGTGATGACAGTGATGAAGATAATGATGACAGTGATGAGGATAATGATGACAGTGATGAGGATAATGATGACAGTGATGAGGATAATGATGACAGTGATGAGGATAATGATGACAGTGATAAGGATAGTGATGACAGTGATAAGGATAATGATGACAGTGATGAGGATAATGATGACAGTGATGACAGTGGTGATGCTGACAGTGATGTCAGTGATGAGGATAATGATGACAGTGATGATGATGACAGTGATGAGGATAATGATGATAGTGATGATGATGACAGTGATGAGGATAATGATGACAGTGATGATGCTGACAGTGATTACAGTGATGAGGATAGTGATGACAGTGATGAGGATAATGATGACAGTGATGACAGTGATGTGGATAATGATGACAGTGACAGTGATGACAGTGATGATGCTGACAGTGAGGACAGTGATGAGGATAATGATGACAGTGACAGTGATGACAGTGATGATGCTGACATTGATGATGCTGACAGTGATGACAGTGATGATGACAGTGACAGTGATGACAGTGATGAGGATAGTGCTGACAGTGACAGTGATGACAGTGATGAGGATAATGCTGACAGTGACAGTGATGACAGTGATGATGCTGACAGTGACAGTGATGACAGTGATGATGCTGACAGTGACAGTTATGACAGTGATGAGGATAGTGATGACAGTGATGATGATGACAGTGATGATGATGACAGTGACAGTGATGACAGTGATGATGACAGTAAAAGTGATGACATTTATGAAGTTGACGATGACAGTGATGGTAATGCTTAATCATGATGACAGTGGTGGTGATTGTGATTAAGATCGTGCTGGTTATGCTGGTGGTAGCAGTGATGCTGTTAACGAATTGAAAACCCACCCATTTCATTCTTGTATGATTCCAGTTGTATCGCTGCCTTGCACTTGCCAGCCAGCATTCAGCTTTTTCCTCTAGCATAGGGTTGTAACATATATCACATATTCGTGTTATATCTTGTAAACAAGTACATAGTAAAACGACAGTAGTAACTTCTGGCAACATGGTTGATATCTAGGCAGACCTTAACTCTACCGCCAGATCTATTTCGTTTACTTTGACGCTACAGATTGTGTGGTAAGTGCTTTCTGTTGTACTCGCATTACTGCTGTGTCGGTGACTTGCGTGGCTGGTGGTTCTGAGCTGGATCCTATTCACGTTTCCCAGCCCATCTACACACTGGCTAACCTTTCATTCATGCTCTCTCCGACTGTTCTACGTGAGAGGAGTGTCACGTAGTCCTGCCTCCAATTACATCAGCACCGATGTCGTGTGTTCTGTACTACACGACGACACATCTTTTAACGACCCCAGAATATCTAGAACTGGCCGTAACTTAAACCACCCTACCTGAGCCTAGATCCCACGAGACTCTTGTCGAAAAAAAAGCAGTACAACGTGTGAAACGCCTTTGAACTAGACCAGACTGAAATGAGTGTAGATGGGCCGGGAAATGTGAATAGGCCCTGAGTTGACTGCTGTGTTAATCAGCTTGATGTCACGGTGGTCGGCAATTGTCATGATGTGCGTGTGTGTGCGCTCACATGTACTCAAGCATATCATTTGTCTATGTTGTAGATCAGTGAGAAATCTTGTCTGGTTTATCCACTGTCCAAATGTTGTCTGGCTTGTTTTAGATGAGATCTTGTTAACAGTTGTGGGAAGCTGAAGCTTATATTCCATTGAGGAGAAACAAAAGGGGGGGGGGCGAGGGTGCAGATGTGTGGTTTCTGAGAGGCATCTTGTCTATATCATGGACAATCTGGATGGGTAACTAGCAACTGTTGCCTAGAAACAGTTCATGAGAGTCGTTATCTAAAGACAACTACAAGGAAAGCGATTGTTGTTGGCTCGTGTGGTGAGAACAGAGTCAGGGGTTACCTGAGGACAATAGTAAAGTGCGCTTGTATAAGAGGCAGAGGCAGCCGGAGAACATTGCTCATGGGGGGTCTAAGACGACGGCACAAAGAAATCAACAAAACCAAAGATCGAGATCATCCAAGAGACATGAACGCCTACGTCATCTTGAAGCACGGAGAAGCTCTGCTAACGTCCAGGGGTTAACGACTACGTGTCCATGAAGATGATGGGGTGTGTACCTGTCACCTGTTGGCGGTCAGAACTGTGCATAGCCTTTCTCTGTATGATCACGTGACATAATGACCAGGAAAGTCAGTGTATCAGCCTGTTGGCAAGTCTCATAGCAGATATACGTTTCTGGAGCAGCGTGGTCGCTTTTGACCAAGCACTGGACATTTTGGAGCTAGTGAAGGATGCTTTGAACGTTAGCACTGGAAGTTTTGTAAGCAGCAATAGAATCTTTGGAGGCCGCAATGGACGTTTTCAAGTTAGTAAGTGGACGTTTTAGATGCAGTAGTGGACGTTTTCGAGGCAGTTGTGAATGTTTACGAGGCAATAGTGGATGTTTACGAGGCATTAGGGACGTTTTCGAGTCAGTAGTAGACGTTTTCGATGCAGTAGTGAACGCTTTCGAGTCAGTAGTTGACGTTTTCGAGGTAGTAGTGGATGTTTTCGAGGCAGTAGTTTACGTTTTCAAGGCAGTAGTTGACGTTTTCGAGACAGTAGTTAACGTTTTCGATGCAGTAGTGGACGTTTTCGAGGTAGTAGTTGACGTTTTCGATGAAGTAGACGTTTTCGAGGCAGTAGTGGACGTTTTCAAGTTAGTAGTGGACGTTGTAGATGCAGTAGTGGATGTTTTCGAAGCAGTAGTGGATATTTTCAAGTTAGTAGTCTACGTTTTAGATACAGTAGTGGATGTTTTCAAGTTAGTAGTGGAAGTTTTTCGATACAGTAGGGGATGTTTTCGAGGCAGTAGTTGACGTTTTCGAGGCATTAGTGGATTTTTACGAGGCAGTAGTTCACGTTTCGATGCAGTAGTTGACGTTTTCGAGACAGTAGTGGACGTTTTCGAGGTAGTAGTTGACGTTTTCGAGTTTGTAGTTGACGTTTTCGAGGCAGTAGTGGACGTTTTCTAGTCAATAGTTGACGTTTTCGAGGCAGTAGTTGACGTTTTCGAGGCAGTAGTTGACGATTTCGAGGTCGCCATGGCACTGCTTGGGTTTAGCTTTCAACTGTATCTTCGCGGTTGCATTCTGGGTGATTCCTCTTGAATGTGGTCCGGAAGTCGAGGCATCTATTGCACGAGGCTGTTGAATTCATTCCTGCAAAGGTCCCTTCTGGATTGCATTGACCTTTATACTTGGGCCGTCAAGTTGTCCGTTTGTGGATGTAATTTTACTGTCACTGTCACAGTGTGACAAATGCCGTCAAGGTTTGTCCGTTTTTTGAGTGTCATTTTTGTCCGTTTTGTGGAGTACTTGAGTGTCACAATGCCGTCAAGTTGTCCGTTTGTGGGTGTACTTTGAGTGTAACAATACTGAAAGGTTGTCCGTTTGAGGGTGTATTTGAAGTGTCACAATGCCGTCAAGTTGTCCGTTTGTGTGTGTATTTAGAGTGTCACAATGCCGTCAAGTTGTCAGTTTGTGGGTGTATTTTGAGTGTCACAATGCCGTCAAGTTATCCGTTTGTAGGTGTATTTAGAGTGTCACAATGCGGTCAAGTTGTCTGTTTCTAGTGGATTTTTGAGTGTCACAATGCCGTCAAGTTGTCCGTTTGTGGGTGTATTTAGAGTGTCACAATGCCGTCAAGTTGTCTGTTTCTGGATGTATTTTGAGTGTCACAATGCCCCATGTTGTCAATTTTCTGATGTAATTTGAGTGTCACAATATCAAGTTGTCTACTTGCTGATATATTGTAAGTGTCGCAGTGTCGTCAGTTGATGTAATTTGGTGTCACAGTGTCATCAGTTTTTCAGTTTGCTGGTTTAATTTGCTCTATACTCAACTTTGCTTTCTTCTCTGCCAACTCGATGTGTGTGATGGTAACAGCGAAGTGTGGACCTGCTTCTCTTTACGTGCATGGAGGAAGACTGGGAGAAGCTGCTCAAACTGATCACCTTCTACACCCGGGATGAGAACTACCTCAGCAGGGTGAGTTTCATGTCGTATCAGTAGGCTGACCGAGAGAAAGAGAGAGGGCGAGTCTCGTGTCGTATCAGTAGGCTGACCGAGAGAACGAGAGAGGGCGAGTCTCATGTCGTATCAGTACGCTGACCGAGAGAAAGAGAGAGGGTGAGTTTCATGTCGTATCAGTGGGCTGACCGAGAGAAAGAGAGAGGGTGAGTCTCATGTCGTATCAGTGGGCTGACCGAGAGAAAGAGAGAGGGTGTCTCATGTCGTATCAGTGGGCTGACCGAGAGAAAGAGAGAGGGTGAGTCTCATGTCGTATCAGTGGGCTGACCGAGAGAAAGAGAGAGGGTGAGTTTCATGTCGTATCAGTGGGCTGACCGAGAGAAAGAGAGAGGGTTAGTTTCATGTCGTATCAGTGGGCTGACCGAGAGAAAGAGAGAGGGCGAGTCTCATGTCGTATCAGTAGGCTGACCGAGAGAACGAGAGAGGGCGAGTCTCATGTCGTATCAGTAGGCTGACCGAGAGAAAGAGAGAGGGTGAGTTTCATGTCGTATCAGTGGGCTGACCGAGAGAAAGAGAGAGGGTGAGTCTCATGTCGTATCAGTGGGCTGACCGAGAGAAAGAGGGTGAGTCTCATGTCGTATCAGTGGGCTGACCGAGAGAAAGAGAGAGGGTGAGTCTCATGTCGTATCAGTGGGCTGACCGAGAGAAAGAGAGAGGTTGAGTTTCATGTCGTATCAGTGGGCTGACCGAGAGAAAGAGAGAGGGTGAGTTTCATGTCGTATCAGTGGGCTGACCGAGAGAAAGAGAGAGGGTGAGAGAGAGAGAGTATAATAACCGAATGACTGCACACATGTATTGAGAAACATCTCAGCATAGTGATCTACGGAAAGAGAGAGAGGGGCAGAGACAGATGTAAAGCGAGAGACAAGTGTAACATTTACGTGTTAGAATCTAACCAGAGAGAGAGAAAGAGGCAGAAAAAAAAGAGATAATAAGTGAGATGGAAGGGTGTTTATAATGTGTATGATAAATGTAATATGTGAGATAGACTGAGCCAGGGAGATGGGATCAAAGGGTGAGATAACTACGGGACAAAGCCTGGCTGTAGGGTTGAACAGTAGCCACACTTGAGTGGGTGTTAAACTTAGTTGCGTATCCTTTACAGGACGTTGCAGAACCAACCCCACCATTTTTTGCCGTTTGGGTTTTTCTGGGCAAATTTACGTCTATTAGTTTGCCATTTCTTTCTTGGACGATCGGCTTCTCGATACCAACTGTTAAAACCAACGCAAAGCGCAAGGCCCGAAGCTGGCATCGGAACCCGGCACCCCGGCATTACGAAGCACGCCCGTAATGCCTAAGCCACAGACGCCGATTGAGTGGGTGTAACAGCATGAAAGAAAGATCAGTGCAACATGTGCCAGTTGGGGAATTCAACCCAAGTCAATATCAGAGCAATGTTTTGTCCGCTAGAATTTTTAATAATCAACAAAAGCCATAAACAATAGTTGCACAATTTATTGCCTGTTTTTACGGAGATCCCTGGGGATCGTCGCCGGAGCTACGGAGCTCGTTAGCTGTGTGGCGATCTCGGCAAGCAGCTGAGAGACCGAGCCTTATGGGAATAAAACCTGGTGCAACCTTTAAATTATAACTGTATCTATTCAGATACATACTACAGTAACAATTAAATGTTTTTTCCCCCTCTATGTATTTCCGTGTTTGTTGTTACTGTAGGCAGTAGGCACCACCTGATACGGTACACACAGGGACACATGCGGGGCATGAAATTATACAACACCTCGTGTGGGTCTTCTGTGTTTACATTATTGAATATGAGTGGGTACATGTGGGTGCATGTGTGTGTAACAAAGGTGTAAGTGTGTGGCTAGAGAGATAACTGCTGAAGCTCACAATGCTAATAATGTCCATGCTATCCACTGCTACAATCTAATGTTATGTATCCACAACAGATGCTACATGCTAATGTTATGTATCCACTGCTACATCCACAGATGTCACAATGCTAATGTCATGTATCCACTGCTACATCCACAGATGTCACAATGCTAATTTCATGTATCCAGTGCCACATCCACAGATATCATAGTGCTAATGTCATGTATCCACTGCCATATCCACAGATGTCACATTGCTAATGTCATGTATCCACTGCCACATCCACAGATGTCACAATGCTAATGTCATGTATCCACTGCCACATCTACAGATGTCACAATGCTAATGTCATGTATCCACTGCTATCTCCACAGAGGTTATAGTGCTAAGGTCATGTATCCACTGCCATATCCACAGAGGTTACAATGCTAATGTCATGTATCCACTGCTATATCCACAGATGTCAGTATCTGAGCGACTGACAGATGTGATGATGTTAGTGCCCCACGCTACACCTGGTCAAGCACAATGCTAATGTCATGTAACAATGCTATCTCCACAGATCCGCCCCAGCTAAACGACATGTATCCACTGCTACCGCTTGATGTCACAATGCTTGTGTCAGTTCACTGAGGAGTGTATCTCCAGGTGAGTCACACCTGTCAACTTACAACATTGCCACACCCGTCCCAGCAACGACATGTGTCCCATTGCTGTACTTGTTCAGTTCAGGAGGAGTGTAATATCCTTCTGTCACATGGCACATATTTGTTTGTCAGGAAATATATCCTTCTGTCACATGGCACCTATTTGTGTGTCAAGAAATATATCTGTCTGTCACATGGCTTATATTTGTTTGTCAGGAAATGAAACCTTCTGTCATAGCTATATCCAACATCCCACGAGGGATATTTTCTTAGAAACTATTAGTGCAACATTTATGAAACTCTCTGAAATTATAACAACAATTTATATGTTGTTTGAAGCTTTGAGTCTCTGAGTCCAGCCACTGACAGTGCTCCTATAAACTGCACACCTTCCTACACAGTACACAGTTTATGAATGTTTACCACGATTCCTTTTCAACTGACCAAACATTTGACAGCTCGCTGTTTGTAATGAACATTGTCACTGCCCTCTGTTTTAATACTCTCTTTGGGGGGGGGGGGGGGGGGGGGGGGGGGGGGGGGGGGGTAAAGAGCTGCCATTTTGTATTCAAAATGCTGCATTTCAAATTTGCCGTATGCAAAATTTCATGTTTTGAACTTTCTTATTCCCTGAGAACCAAATTGTGGGTCATTACTTTCTGTATGTTTCTCGTAACCAGAGAATATATAAAAGTTCATCTACAAGAAAGGTTTCTTGTCAGGAAGATTTATCTGACTGTGAAATATGGACACTGAAAAAAACCTGAAAAAAGATGTGTGCAGACATTTCTCATGTGGGCTGTCTATTCATGATAGGAACCAGCTGGGCTGAACAACCCTTCACTAAACAAACAAGATTTCTAAACTGGAAAGCTCCGGACACCAAGATGCATCAGTGAGATGGTAGAAAGCAGAATACTGGAGAAAAGAGGAAGAAACAGATGGACAAATTCTGTGGAACACATACATAAATTAGTCAATGTGTGGAATTAAAGAGAGTGACACAAAATGGACATCTATAGAGTGGGATAGTAAGGAAGCTTAATGCCCAAGGGCTGTAATATTTGATATTGTTGGTGATGATGGTGATGATGATAATTATCTTGATGATCATCATTATCATAATGAAGATGTGTGGTGGTGATGATGTTGATCAATTTTCAAGAGTCCATCACAGTCAAGCTGGTCAGGGAAAGAAATGTTGGTATTGTTGGAGACGTGAACCCACACCACTTACATGACAATCTAATCACTGTGAGGCTCCACAAATGAATTGTTGGCACAGTTTCATCTTCCCAGATGATAGCCTTATATTATTGTGTGTTTTATATCAGCGTGGGAATCACCACCCACGGTGATAGCTAGAGTGACTAGCTATACCCAGCCACAGTAAGGAAAGACTTCCACAATCAGTGTACGAAATATCAAGGCCATTGATTGCAAATATGGGTACAGCTGATTATTTAAATGTTTAGAGTTGTCCTGTCTGGCCATTTGTCAACTAACCTTTGGCTTGTTCTTCTAGATTTGCTCATGGTCTTGACCGTGAAGATGTCCCGGGTCTAGCGGAGCTCTTCACACGGCATATGCCAGGTAAAGTTTCTGGAAGTGCTGCCAGGAGAGTTCAAGAAGAGCTGTTTCATGCAAACCATGGACTGGTGCCTTAAACAGATCACCCGCCATCACATTGGTGTCCACAAATCGCCTGGACGGACATGTCCTTGTCTAGGCCAGTAAACATATTTCTGGTTACAGACTGCCAAACAACCTGGCAATGTTGGATATCAGTCTGCCTGTTTGGACTGTTTGTATGTGGGTGCATAGAAAAGACTATGATGTCCTGCAACACATACAGATTTGCCCAATCATCCAATACTGTGTTTATAATTATCTGGTACATATGAAAGGTATTCAGTTACACTGGCTGATGGAACCACCTGACAGTGACAGATGTTATAATCTGACAGTGTGGAGTGACGATGCATTCTCATAATGTTTCAGGCAGGTACAGGATCATTCCCCAACCAGTCCCAAATATCTATAGACTAATTTGTACTTGGTGGCTATGAGGTCAGTATCCTGGCATATATTTCAGCCCAGATCCACATGTGAGCCTAAGTCATTGGACCTGAACAAATGACCAATCTGGCAGGCTTGCTAATATTTCAGGTGACCTCTGGTGGACAGCAAACTGACCAGGTCAGGATACATACATTAGCACATATTATTCATAATTTTTTTTATAGTGAAGATCTTCAATAATTGTGACTTCTGAAATCTGACCTATTCGCACTTGAACCAAATTTCAACAGAGAGAAGTGATCCTGCTGGCAAATATTATTTGTGTTAACTGTTAAGAAATTAGCGAAAACTACTCTGTGGCTTATGAAGATATTGGTTTCATCCTATTTGACGAAAAAAAATATTTTTATCACAAAAGATCAAATAAAAATCGACTGTAACTTTATAACAAAACCCCCTAAAAAATGTCAGCAAGTGACCTTTCTGTGTGAACTCTATAACCCTTCCAGCCAGTGACCTTTCTGTGTCAACTCTATAACCCCCCAGCCAGTGACCTTTCTGTGTCAACTCTATAACCCTTCCAGCCAGTGACCTTTCTGTGTGAACTCTATAACCCTTCCAGCCAGTGACCTTTCTGTGTGAACTCTATAACCCTTCCAGCCAGTGACCTTTCTGTGTGAACTCTATAACCCTTCCAGCCAGTGACCTTTCTGTGTCAACTCTATAACCCTTCCAGCCAGTGACCTTTCTGTGTCAACTCTATAACCCCCCAGCAAGTGACCTTTCTGTGTCAACTCTATAACCCCCCAGCAAGTGACCTTTCTGTGTGAACTCTATAACCCTTCCAGCCAGTGACCTTTCTGTGTCAACTCTATAACCCTTCCAGCCAGTGACCTTTCTGTGTCAACTCTATAACCCCCCAGCCAGTGACCTTTCTGTGTGAACTCTATAACCCTTCCAGCCAGTGACCTTTCTGTGTCAACTCTATAACCCTTCCAGCAAGTGGTTCTAATTGAACTAAGGTCATTTTTTTTAATTGGCTGTAAACTTCTTATTTATTAACGTATTAGTGTGTATGTGCATGTGTGTACACACATGTCTTTCACCGGCAGTTTTGCCACGAGGCAGTTATTTTTCCACAAACTTAAATTATCTATTATTTATTACATTGTTTTTGTGTATTGTTTTATTTTTACTGTTGTGTACCCTAGGATGGAGTGTGATATGTAGTGTATTTGCACACACTGTGTTGTAGTGTATTTGTACACACAGACAGAGGTGTGATATTTGTACACATGTTTTTGTGTATGTGAACACACTGTGGTGTGTATATTTTTACACATTGTGGTGTACTTGTACACACTGAGAGAGGTGGGATATTTATACACACTGTACACAACTAACTTGGTACTTAAAGAGCGGTATGACAATTGTGGAAACATTGGCCAGACTGGGAGCCATATTTGTGGACAGGCCATACCCCAAGGAGATGTCTGCACATTCAACTAAGTCTGCCCAGGGCCAAAATGGTTACAGTGGGGATCGTCACAATACAACAAAACTGGCAATGATCTCTTGACCACTGGTCAGACCTCTGGACAGGCTGAAAAGCCCTGCCCTACATACTGGTCAGTAGGAATCCTGCTGGTCAGGACAGCTCAGCAGACGTCAATGTCTCCGTGTTGCCAGCTGGGATTCTTCAGTTAACAGTTTCATTCACTTAATGGTTGTAAATATGTTCCAGTGTTACCAGTGTTTGTGACTTATTGTCAAAAAAAAATATTTCATTATTCTCGTATCTATTGATATAACTGTTGCTATTCCTACAGTAATCAGTTAATATGTCATAATATGGTTAATCTGCCAGTTTACACACAAGTGTCTGTTAACATAATACTGTATCATAAGAAATGCTCCATTTACATCAACCCGTAGGTAAATGTGATGACATCATTATGGGAGCATGTTATTGTCAGTAACACAATATCTGAATGACAATTTGTTATGTAAACTGTGTTCTACTTAATATATTTGTAACAAAAGTATATCACATGCTCAGTTGCAGCAACAATTGTTTGTTGTGAGTGTGCGTTGTTTGTTGCAATCATGTTGCTTATTTTTGACACGGTACAGCACAATGTGCAGAAATTCATCACACAGACACCAGAAAACATAAGCAGTCAGTGATCAAACAAGAAAGTAGACATGTATGACACATCAACACATCAGAGAACATAAGCAGTCAGTCATCAAACAAGAAAGTAGACATGTATGACAGATCAACACACCAGAGAACATAAGCAGTCAGTGATCAAACAAGAAAGTAGACATGTATGACACATCAACACACCAGAGAACATAAGCAGTCAGTGATCAAACAAGAAAGTAGACATGTATGACACATCAACACACCAGAGAACATAAGCAGTCAGTCATCAAACAAGAAAGTAGACATGTATGACACATCAACACACCAGAGAAAATAAGCAGTCAGTGATCAAACAAGAAAGGAGACATGTATGACAGATCAACACACCAGAGAACATAAGCAGTCAGTCATCAAACAAGAAATTAGTCATGTGTGACAGATCAACACACCAGAGAACATAAGCAGTCAGTGATCAAACAAGAAATTAGTCATGTGTGACAGATCAACACACCAGAGAACATAAGCAGCCAGTCATCAAACAAGAAAGTAGACATGTATGACAGATCAACACACCAGAGAACATAAGCAGCCAGTCATCAAACAAGAAAGTAGACATGTATGACAGATCAACACACCAGAGAACATAAGCAGTCAGTCATCAAACAAGAAAGTAGACATGTATGACACATCAACACACCAGAGAACATAAGCAGCCAGTCATCAAACAAGAAAGTAGACATGTATGACAGATCAACACACCAGAGAACATAAGCAGTCAGTCATCAAACAAGAACATAGACATGTATGACACATCAACACACCAGAGAACATAAGCAGCCAGTCATCAAACAAAAAAGTAGACATGTATGACACATCAACACACCAGAAAACATAAGCAGCCAGTCATCAAACAAGAAAGTAGACATGTATGACAGATCAACACACCAGAGAACATAAGCAGCCAGTCATCAAACAAGAAAGTAGACATGTATGACACATCAACACACCAGAGAACATAAGCAGCCAGTCATCAAACAAGAAAGTAGACATGTATGACAGATCAACACACCAGAGAACATAAGCAGTCAGTGATCAAACAAGAAAGTAGACATGTATGAAACATCAACACACCAGAGAACATAAGCAGCCAGTCATCAAACAAGAAAGTAGACATGTATGACAGATCAACACACCAGAGAACATAAGCAGCCAGTCATCAAACAAGAAAGTAGACATGTATGACACATCAACACACCAGAGAACATAAGCAGCCAGTCATCAAACAAGAAAGTAGACATGTATGACACATCAACACACCAGAGAACATAAGCAGCCAGTCATCAAACAAGAAAGTAGACATGTATGACAGATCAACACACCAGAGAACATAAGCAGCCAGTCATCAAACAAGAAAGTAGACATGTATGACACATCAACACACCAGAGAACATAAACAGTCAGTCATCAAACAAGAAAGTAGACATGTATGACAGATCAACACACCAGAGAACATAAGCAGTCAGTCATCAAACAAGAAATTAGTCATGTGTGACAGATCAACAAACACCTGGCCAGCTTTGTCAGACAGTCTAATGAAACATCCAACCTGACACCCACTGCCCATGAACAATGGCATGTCTGATGGTGTAATGAGGAAGCCATGTTCTGTCTTTTACACCTGATGTATTCGAAGTTCATGACAGTGATCTAGATGCTTTATTCTGTTTCATGGCAATGTCATTGAAGATTAGCAGCCTTCCAATTGAATAGTGTTCCATTGTTTTAGAGGCAGACAAAGCCATCATAGCCAATGCGGATAGCAGGCATGACCGCCGAGATCATCCGGCCACATGACAAGGAGTTATAACAGGTCACTGCCGCTTCTTGGTTTAATTCTAAGACCAGTTGAGGCTGTTAAGGCCAAGAATGTAGTTGATCATCTTTACAGAAACACTAGGCAGTATTGTAGACACCATATGTTGTATACACAGGATTATCCCTCAGTGCCAAATAGTTTTTTTATATATATATATATATATATATATATATATATAAAAAGTGCTGACCAGACCATACTTAGTGTGTGCTGTTGTAGAAAGTGTGTGCTGTTGTAGAAAGTGTGCTGTTGTAGAAAGTGTGTGCTGTTGTAGAAAGTGTGTGCTGTTGTAGAAAGTGTGTGCTGTTGTAGAAAGTGTGTGCTGTTGTAGAAAGTGTGTGTGTGCTGTTGTAGAAAGTGTGTGTGTGTGCTGTTGTAGAAAGTGTGTGTGTGTGCTGTTGTAGAAAGTGTGTGTGTGCTGTTGTAGAAAGTGTGTGTGTGCTGTTGTAGAAAGTGTGTGTGTGCTGTTGTCTTGTAGTAGACAGTGTGTGCTGTTGTATACAACAGTGTGTGTCAGACAGTTGTAGTGTACAGTGTGTGCTGTTGTAGAAAGTGTGTGCTGTTGTAGAAAGTGTGTGTGTGGTGTTGTAGAAAGTGTGTGTGTGTGCTGTTGTAGAAAA